TTACAAAAGCAGCAAGTACTCGATTCCAATATTTCAAAGATAAAACCTCTTTCTAATGCAATCAATAAGGCCTATAAAAGTGACCTTCCAAAAATTCTAAAGAAATCAAATTGAAGTCCAATTTATGTGGCACGTTGCATGAAGATATTGTAAGTAAACTGCTGATGAAATCCAAATTTAATAGGAAAACCATGAAAGTCGATCTCTATTTGAGAAAAAAAATTTAAATATTAGAAGTTTGGAAAGATATTATTAGCTTCATCGAGAGCTATAATGGGACCAAACAGATCAAATATCTTAAACCAAAAGATCAAAAAAGGGTAATCATAGAAATCCTAAAAGCTTTTTCTCAAACAATTATGACAACAACAATAACAACCACAAGACAGTGAATATATATATACATATTAGTCCCCTGGCCATTATAATTTTGAGAAAATGGAGTTTTGAATAGTTTTTTTTTTTTTGGAGTGCGTGGTTAAAATACAAAAGAGAAGTAGAAAAAACAAAAAAAAAAAAAAGGAGGTATAAATGAACATATGATCATGTTTGATAGCTTAAAAGATTACTTATAAGTTTTAAAATCAATAATCTTCTTATAGATTGAATTGAATTTTCAAAGCAAACAAAAAGTTAATTTCAGAATTAGTGACATTTTTTACTTGAAATAAGAAAAAAAAAAATGTCATTCAAACATTCAGAAAAAAAAAAAAGCATTCTTTCCTTATTTATAAGCTTAGTCAAACATGACGAAAATCCTACAAATAAATCTGGAAAAAAGTTCAAATCTTTTGCTCAACTGTTACCTAGACGATCATTTTCAAACCCAAAGAAAACGCTAAAACCGGACTATACATATTACATACACGCATATAAAATTCATACAAGTATGCAATCTACTAAAAATCTTTAAAAGGTGGAATATTCAACATCAGAAAAAAAGAAGAAAGAAGAAGGGATTTTTACCAGCACAAAGTTGTTATTGCAACCAGGTTTTGCTGGAGCGGTATCATCTTGGTGAACAATATCACCTGCAGACACCGGAGCAGAATTCAACAAAACAGCAAGAACTGTACAGAAAGCACAGTAGAGAGCTCTGTTCTTCATCTTCATAATCTCGACCAAAAAAGGAAAGGAAAAAAAAAAACTCCAGAAAAGTTCTGTGTGAAGATCGGAGTACAGGGTCAATTGGGTTTTTTCTTATTCTTTAGGAATATTATTTTAGAGACATGAACCTGGAGAGAAAGCAGAGGAATAAGAGATATGTACAAGGGACGAGAGGTTTTAAGGCACTGTTTGGCTTAGTTTTAATTTTATTTTTTCACGAAAATAACCGTGTTCTTAAAGGGGTGAAGTATCCGTACACTTTGCTGATGTCAATATGATGTAAAATTGGACAAACTCTCCTGTCCGTGTTTGAATCTATTGTTTTAAAAAATAATGCTATTTAACTCCAATGTTACAATCTCAATTTAAAGAACTGCTACACTTACAGTTATTATAGGACTGTAAATTTTACAGAACAAACTCTCATGTCTGCATTTGAATCTATTGTTTAAAAAAAAATGCTATTTAACTCCACTGATACAATCTCAATTTAGAGAACTGCTACACTTACGGTCATTAGAGGGTGGGCCCGCCCTCTAATAACTGTACAAGTAGTATTTTTGCTCAATTTAAGTGGCATTATACAGTATTAAATGATATGCGAGTCATTTAATTTTATATTCTAAATTGAAATTCTAACCCCCGATGAAATTACGTAACATCACTCTATTTAAACTTGATTTCGCTTCAATATCATTTCTAATTACAAATCCTCTCAATAAAATAATTTTATTTTTTACCAATAATTGATTGACGCGTGAATAAAAAAATGAGATCCACTATTTTAAATAATAACAAAAAGTACTAAGGCTCTGTTTGGGAGAATTTTAATCAAGATTTTAATCAAAATTCTAGCCGTTAACTATCAAATCAGCCACCATTTTTTACTTTTCCTCTCACAGGTGGGGCCCACAGGTTGACTATAACGACTATAATTTTGATTAAAATCACACAAAAATTGCTTCCAAACACGATCTAACTTTCATACTCCGAAAATANCCTTTACAAACAGGTAATTTTGTTCCCTGTTTACTTTTATATATATATATGCTTAATTTAAGTTTCTATTTGGTAAAATTTTGTTCAAATTTTAACTGCTCAAATTTTAATTTTAATCATTGATATTAATAATTAATAATTTTATGACTATCAACTTTCAACTATATATTTCATTAATTTTATCGGTGTGCTAAATTTTCTTTATCAAAATCTTCGTCAAACATCCAATAAATATCATAGTACTATTATGCCTAAAACATCGTGTCAAGTTCGGTCAAGGCACGCTCCGATAAGTAAATATGATTTTCTTTAATTTATTGTAAAGCTTTGCCATCGCTGTCGACATGAACACTCGTTTTTATTCAATCTAGTCAACAATTTCATCCCTAATATGTTCATCTAAATATCTTCAATTGTTTTTAAAAAAATTATTACACGAATTTTTTTCGTTATGCTCGATTTGTCGTTACTCCTAATATAAATCTAATGCAATAAATCTTAGCTCCTGTTTGACAAACATTTTTGAGATAAATGATATATTTCATAAAATATAGGTTCATAAGCGAATAAAGTTTGACAGACTTATAATCTCAAAAAGTTGCCAAACAAGTGTTTAATTTGATTATAGTATCAACTGAGATTTTAGGAAAAAAAAAATAAATAAAAAGTGCAAAAGATCTTATGAGTAGAATATTCACCTTTAGATGTGTGGACTTACACGGAAAAAATGATTTTGAATATCTAAAAATTAAAAACAATATTTCTATATTTTATTCGAAAAAATGCACAACTTAAATTCAAAATATTATTATTTATTGAGATAAGTCCAAACAGGCCCTTAGTTATGGGAGCAAAAGGAAAGCGCGTTGAAAATGTAAGGAAGATGACTGACAACCGGGTGAAGGGGTAATTCTTTTTTCGTATTTGGCCGTACAGATAAGACGGCGCTTTAAATAAATGTGTATAGTATTATAGCCCCTGTTTGACACCCATTTTTTATCCCATTCTCATTCTCATTTTTCTACAGTACTCATTTCTAACCACACATTCTCCAAATAAAATAATATTACACATAAACCCAAAAATTCTTCTTACTTTTAACCACATATTCTTTACATCAATCACTATTTAAAAACTCATTCTTAAAAAAAATGGGTGCCAAACACCCACTAAACTTTGTATAAGCTTCATTGNTTAAAATAATGGGTGTCAAACGGGGATATAATCAGAATCAGTCATTTCCATGTGAGCCTGCACGACTCCAGGTGTGTGCAAAATTCGGTCGAACTCGTCAAAATCTCCCAACTCGACTGATTTGAGTTGATTTTTTGTCGTTTTTACACGGGTTGGATGAGTTGATTGTATAGAGGGATCGGATTGGGTTATGTGTTAACTAATAAAAATCGAATAAACCCGTCCAACCCAATCCGACTCGACTATATTTATGAACTTTACAAGTGTTATAATATTGTTTGGAAACTCTTAGAATAATATTATAGGATTTGGATAGAATGCATTTTACGAAAAATAGTATAAGCAAATACATATTCAACACAAAAACATTTTAATTACAAAAAACATATTTTGACTTCATATAATTTAATATCAATGTGACCATATAACATTTTCGGGCATGAAGTGCCAAAATAATTCAGATTTTTTTGTTCATTCCAACTATGGAAACCAAACATTATATAAGTCATGAGTCAATTATAAATCCATCAAATTCGACTCGCCTACTTTAGTCTTTGTTAACAAGTTATTTCAACCCGACCAATTCGATCGATATTTGATTGGGTTGGGTTGTGTTTTAACATTTACACGAATTGGGTTAAATTGTGATCAAATCGATCATTTTATGTTGAGTTTGGATTGAGACAAAAATCGACTCAACCCAACCCAATCAATGCCCACCCCTACTCACAAGGCAACTGTTCTTGTATAGTTATTATTATTATTTTTTGGTTAATTGATTTTCCCCTTTTTAATAAGCACTTAACTTTAAGTAGGGTATTCAAATCACTTTTTGTTTAAAGGTTAGTTCTATTTTAGATTAGAATTATATTAAAGACATATCACTACTAAATAAAAGAGCCACTTTGAAAATCACTGTTCCCAATTTCGTCCTCCAAAACGACGTCGTTTTGGCCCCAAAAAAAACAAAAATCCCTCTTTATCCCAACACGAGCTGTCTGCTTGTCATTCTTCCAAACCCTCGATTTTCTCCTCCTCCATCCGGCGATGAAATTCTTCCCATTGCTGAACTTGCTTCTCTCTCCATTTCAACACGCAAGCTCCATACTCCACCATCTCCCCTATTCTCTTTCTCGCGATTTCGTTCCTGCCCAAAGAAAGAAACCCTAGAAATCGTCTTCTCACGTTCTTCACTGTCTTTCACAGAAACTTTTTCAGATTCGCGCTTCGATTTTTGTTTGATGTTTATTTCTTTGGTTCGATTTTCGCTGTTAATGGTTTGACGAGAAGTAGAAGCCACGACAATTCCTCCGTCGTTTCTCGGCTCCTCCGGTTCCTTTACGTCCGGAACTAAGCTCCATTCTTCGCCTATTTTTTTTCCTTCAGTTCTGACTCTCGATGGTTGAGACAATAGATTTCTTCTTCAACCAAAGGACGTTGCTTCTCTGCCTCGCACTCTTCCATATACACAGTAAAGCGCAGGCGAAAACAATGGTGAGTTGTAACAATTCGAAGATAATTTTTTGTGCGTTTTTTACCTAATCTCATGACACCCAGTTAATTTCAGGCTCTAAATCAATTTATTATGGCATCAAAGTATTATTTCTGTGACTTATTGAAAAAAGGCAATGTATTCGATGTGTTTGATTAAATGTTTGAACTGACCTACTTTATCTCTTAATTGTAGGAACTCTAGAAATATGGACTGTTATGTTGTAAGTACAGCAGGGAAGACGATCTTCACTAAGTGAGTCCCTGTCAAGAATTAGAAATTTTCTATATTTATGTTCTTTTATATTATGAATATCTTAAACNTTTGATTCAGTCAATTATGAAAATCATTGGAAATCGTATTTTTTGAACTGAACTCTCGGTATCTGATGAAAAAAATGTTGTCATGGTGTCTTTAACAATGAATTGGTTTTGAACATTCGGGTTATAAGGTAGGATTTGTACTAATGTTTTCTTTCTTATGTGATAATTGAAGACCGTGTCCACACGGATTCTTCATGCTGCACACACAAAATATGGTCTTCCACACAAGCTAGATTGGAGGCAAAATATAGGAAGGGTTTAAAGAATGCACAGCTCAAGCTAGGTGATTCAAATGGAGACATAGTAGATCTGAAAAATTACTTGGATGCTCAATACTATGGAGAGATTAGTATCGGGTCACCCCCTCAGAATTTCACTGTGATATTTGATACTGGCAGTTCCAATTTATGGGTTCCTTCCTCAAAATGTTATCTTTCTGTAAGTTTATTCCTAAAAATATTTATTCCTTAAGAGTTTGGTTCTCATTATTCAGTTGCTTAGCAAATTAAATTCCCAGGCAGATTGCATGCTATTTCCATTCGAAGTACAAGGCCAGCAAATCCAGTACATATACAAAGAATGGTATGTTGACATATTTGCTTATTTACATACTATTTTGATGATTGTGGACGATTTAGAACATGTTGAGTTGCCAATCCTAAATTTATATAAACTGAAACTTTCCATGATTCAGGGAAGCCATGTTCTGGATCGATTTCTGGACATTTCAGCCAAGATAATGTCGGAGTTGGTGATGTTGTGGTTAAATATCAAGTCAGTTCCCTTTTTTTAGGCCTAATTTGTGTCTACTGTACTTCAAATGATTGTACTCAAAATGTTAAAATTTTGTTTTTCAGCTTTTTATTGAGGCTACAAGAGAGCCAAGCTAGCCAAATTTGATGGAATGCTTTGGGCTTGGTTTCCAGGAAATTTCGGTTGGCAATCAAGTGCCAGACTGGTATTCATTTGATTCAAGTGATTGAGTCAATGTTCTGTGTTTCATCTTTTCCTATGATCACCTCCCTTAATGCCCACTGGTAAACTGATTTTAATTCCAAATTGCAGTTACAACATGGTCGATCAAGGTCTTGTTGATGAGCCAGTATTCTCTTTCTGGCTTAATCGTGATACGGAAGCAGAAGAGGGTGGTGAGATTGTCTTTGGTGGTGTTGACCCCAAACACTACAAGGGAGACCATAAATATGTTCCCGTGCCACAAAAAGGTTATTGGCAGGTATTTGAAGATAGCTTATTTACTTATAGTTTGGTTATTCTGCATGAACTAAAATCAAATTCTCAATTGTCTCATTTTTCTCCACCACATCTCCTCTTGTTCTCATGTGTGTATATCTTTCTTATACCAGTTCGAAATGGGAGATTTTCTTATAGGAAATGTATCAACAGGTAATATCCGCAGCTATTGTAGTTAAGAAGGTTATCTTGTTACGAAAAACTTGAACCTAAAATATACAGAATTCTTGTTTTTCAATCATGTCACTTCATTTTCAATTCTACCTTCAGGTTTTTGTAAGGGTGCTTGTGCTACTATTATCGATTCTGGAACGTCCTCGCTTGCTGGTCCAACTGTACGTTTTTCCCTCTTTTTATTCTTGTT